CCACACCGTCCCGCCGGAAAACACCTTCCACAGGCTCCTGTGCAGCACTTGGCGGGATGGGGCCCGGAAGCTCTCTGAGCTCTCTGTTGCCGTCAATTTCTTGAGCCACACCGGGCTCTGGCTCCCAGGTCGCGGGCGGCGAAGCCTCCTCGCAGGAGGCCAAGTCCAAGGCGTCCAGAATGTCAACGCCCAGCACCAGGAAGGGCGCCAAGGGCCGACGCGCAGCCGGCCACAAAGAGCTCAGGATGGCATGAACTCGACTGTCCATGTTTTCAATGGAGAGGAAACGGCTGCGAAGATGCCTTTCTAGCTGCTGGTCTAACCATTAGCACTGCCTGAGTTTACCAGCGAGCTTTCAGAATTTCACTCCGTGATTTTGCCACTGCCAAACAACGTATCAGTACTGCCTGAGTTCAGTAACGGGTGCCACTGCCAAACAACGTCAACTAGCCCGACATGCTGTGGAATAGTTTGACATGCCCCAAGCCGAAGTCACGGCTACCTTGAGCCGAATGGCTCAACACTCACACCCGTCCGATAGCCCGTCTCGACCTATCCTATAGCACGGCTGGCATCTCAACGTCCTCAAAGAAAGCAGCATGCATCATCGGCCAAAGAGGCACGTCATGTTTTCTCTCCTTTGCAAAGATTGCATTCGACAGGGCAGAGGGCACATTGACCCATGGCCCTTCACGGCTCAGGACGCCATTCACGATCCTTCGGGGGTCGCAAACTCTTGCTGCAAATCTGTTGGAGTTCAGAGCACAGTGAACCCTCCAAGTCCCTCCAAATCTGTCCCGATATTGCCGATCCAGCAAGTCGATTGCAGCGCCCGCGATGACAGCGGCAGCGCTGTGAAACATCCTGGGCTCAGAGGTGTCAGAAGGCACACTTCGGGCCGTCGCAAGCTTTGCCAAGGAGCGATGCTCCTGCGCCGGCCTAGGAAGGCCGTGAGAAGCCAGCAGAAAGCCACTTTGACACAAGCTTCTCCCTCCTTTTAGGCCCTGGCCACCTGTGCCAAAACAAAGCCCGGAGGGGCGCCGGTCGCGCCAAGGGCCTGATCCATTGCCTTCCGGGATTTCGAGAAGTCGAGCTGCGTTCCACACTCACCATCAAAGCTGCAGACAAGCTGCCGCACCCGCAAAGTTTAACAGCAAAAAGAATGGGATGGTCTCCGCCAGTGTCTGCCCAATCTCCTGCCAGCTTCTGACGGGATCAAAGTGGAGGGCTACAGGTGCTGGCATTCCCGGGAACCATCTTCCTTCTCTCCAAACACCTTCTGCCTACCCCTGCCAGCCCTGTAGCCCCACACCGTCCCGCCGGAAAACACCTTCCACAGGCTCCTGTGCAGCACTTGGCGGGATGGGGCCCGGAAGCTCTCTGAGCTCTCTGTTGCCGTCAATTTCTTGAGCCGCACCGGGCTCTGGCTCCCAGGTCGCGGGCGGCGAAGCCTCCTCGCAGGAGGCCAAGTCCAAGGCGTCCAGAATGTCAACGCCCAGCACCAGGAAGGGCGCCAAGGGCCGACGCGCAGCCGGCCACAAAGAGCTCAGGATGGCCTGAACTCGACTGTCCATCTCGCTGAAGGAAGCAGCTTTAAAAGATGCCTTCTAGCTGCTGGTCTAACCATTAGCACTGCCTGAGTTTAGCAGCGAGCTTTCAGAATTTCACTCCGTGATTTTTAAGCCACTGCCAAACGACGTATCAGTACAGCCTGAGTTCAGTAACGGGTGCTACTGCTAAACAACGTCAACTAGCCCGACATGCTGTGGAATAGTTTGACATGCCCCAAGCCGAAGTCACGGCTACCTTGAGCCGAATGGCTCAACCCTCACACCCGTCCGATAGCCCGTCTCGACCTATCCTCCAATAGCACGGCTGGCATCTCAACGTCCTCAAAGAAAGCAGCATGCATCATCGGCCAAAGAGGCACGTCATGTTTTCTCTCCTTTGCAAAGATTGCATTCGACAGGGCAGAGGGCACATTGACCCATGGCCCTTCACGGCTCAGGACGCCAGTCACGATCCTTCGGGGGTCGCAAACTCTTGCTGCAAATCTGTTGGAGTTCAGAGCACAGTGAACCCTCCAAGTCCCTCCAAATCTGTCCCGATATTGCCGATCCAGCACGTCGATTGCAGCGCCCGCGATGACAGCGGCAGCGCTGTGAAACATCCTGGGCTCAGAGGTGTCAGAAGGCACACCTCGGGCCGTCGCAAGCTTTGCCAAGGAGCGATGCTCCTGCGCCGGCCTAGGAAGGCCGCGAGAAGCCAGCAGAAAGCCACTTTGACACAAGCTTCTCCCTCCTTTTAGGCCCTGGCCACCTGTGCCAAAACAAAGCCCGGAGGGGCGCCGGTCGCGCCAAGGGCCTGATCCATTGCCTTCCGGGATTTCGAGAAGTCGAGCTGCGTTTCACACTCACCATCAAAGCTGCAGACAAGCTGCCGCACCCGCAAAGTTTAACAGCAAAAAGAATGGGATGGTCTCCGCCAGTGTCTGCCCAATCTCCTGCCAGCTTCTGACGGGATCAAAGTGGAGGGCTACAGGTGCTGGCATTCCCGGGAACCATCTTCCTTCTCTCCAAACACCTTCTGGCTACCCCTGCCAGCCCTGTAGCCCCACACCGTCCCGCCGGAAAACACCTTCCACAGGCTCCTGTGCAGCACTTGGCGGGATGGGGCCCGGAAGCTCTCTGAGCTCTCTGTTGCCGTCAATTTCTTGAGCCACACCGGGCTCTGGCTCCCAGGTCGCGGGCGGCGAAGCCTCCTCGCAGGAGGTCAAGTCCAAGGCGTCCAGAATGTCAACGCCCAGCACCAGGAAGGGCGCCAAGGGCCGACGCGCAGCCGGCCACAAAGAGCTCAGGATGGCATGAACTCGACTGTCCATGTTTTCAATGGAGAGGAAACGGCTGCGAAGATGCCTTTCTAGCTGCTGGTCTAACCATTAGCACTGCCTGAGTTTACCAGCGAGCTTTCAGAATTTCACTCCGTGATTTTTAAGCCACTGCCAAACGACGTATCAGTACAGCCTGAGTTCAGTAACGGGTGCTACTGCCAAACAACGTCAACTAGCCCGACATGCTGTGGAATAGTTTGACATGCCCCAAGCCGAAGTCACGGCTACCTTGAGCCGAATGGCTCAACACTCACACCCGTCCGATAGCCCGTCTCGACCTATCCTCCAATAGCACGGCTGGCATCTCAACGTCCTCAAAGAAAGCAGCATGCATCATCGGCCAAAGAGGCACGTCATGTTTTCTCTCCTTTGCAAAGATTGCATTCGACAGGGCAGAGGGCACATTGACCCATGGCCCTTCACGGCTCAGGACGCCATTCACGATCCTTCGGGGGTCGCAAACTCTTGCTGCAAATCTGTTGGAGTTCAGAGCACAGTGAACCCTCCAAGTCCCTCCAAATCTGTCCCGATATTGCCGATCCAGCAAGTCGATTGCAGCGCCCGCGATGACAGCGGCAGCGCTGTGAAACATCCTGGGCTCAGAGGTGTCAGAAGGCACACCTCGGGCCGTCGCAAGCTTTGCCAAGGAGCGATGCTCCTGCGCCGGCCTAGGAAGGCCGTGAGAAGCCAGCAGAAAGCCACTTTGACACAAGCTTCTCCCTCCTTTTAGGCCCTGGCCACCTGTGCCAAAACGAAGCCCGGAGGGGCGCCGGTCGCGCCAAGGGCCTGATCCATTGCCTTCCGGGATTTCGAGAAGTCGAGCTGCGTTCCACACTCACCATCAAAGCTGCAGACAAGCTGCCGCACCCGCAAAGTTTAACAGCAAAAAGAATGGGATGGTCTCCGCCAGTGTCTGCCCAATCTCCTGCCAGCTTCTGACGGGATCAAAGTGGAGGGCTACAGGTGCTGGCATTCCCGGGAACCATCTTCCTTCTCTCCAAACACCTTCTGGCTACCCCTGCAGCCCTGTAGCCCCACACCGTCCCGCCGGAAAACACCTTCCACAGGCTCTGTGCAGCACTTGGCGGGATGGGGCCCGGAAGCTCTCTGAGCTCTCTGTTGCCGTCAATTTCTTGAGCCACACCGGGCTCTGGCTCCCAGGTCGCGGGCGGCGAAGCCTCCTCGCAGGAGGCCAAGTCCAAGGCGTCCAGAATGTCAACGCCCAGCACCAGGAAGGGCGCCAAGGGCCGACGCGCAGCCGGCCACAAAGAGCTCAGGATGGCCTGAACTCGACTGTCCATCTTTCAATGAGAGGAAACGGCTTTAAAAGATGCCTTCTAGCTGCTGGTCTAACCATTAGCACTGCCTGAGTTTAGCAGCGAGCTTTCAGAATTTCACTCCGTGATTTTTAAGCCACTGCCAAACGACGTATCAGTACAGCCTGAGTTCAGTAACGGGTGCTACTGCCAAACAACGTCAACTAGCCCGACATGCTGTGGAATAGTTTGACATGCCCCAAGCCGAAGTCACGGCTACCTTGAGCCGAATGGCTCAACACTCACACCCGTCCGATAGCCCGTCTCGACCTATCCTCCAATAGCACGGCTGGCATCTCAACGTCCTCAAAGAAAGCAGCATGCATCATCGGCCAAAGAGGCACGTCATGTTTTCTCTCCTTTGCAAAGATTGCATTCGACAGGGCAGAGGGCACATTGACCCATGGCCCTTCACGGCTCAGGACGCCATTCACGATCCTTCGGGGGTCGCAAACTCTTGCTGCAAATCTGTTGGAGTTCAGAGCACAGTGAACCCTCCAAGTCCCGCCAAATCTGTCCCGATATTGCCGATCCAGCAAGTCGATTGCAGCGCCCGCGATGACAGCGGCAGCGCTGTGAAACATCCTGGGCTCAGAGGTGTCAGAAGGCACACCTCGGGCCGTCGCAAGCTTTGCCAAGGAGCGATGCTCCTGCGCCGGCCTAGGAAGGCCGTGAGAAGCCAGCAGAAAGCCACTTTGACACAAGCTTCTCCCTCCTTTTAGGCCCTGGCCACCTGTGCCAAAACAAAGCCCGGAGGGGCGCCGGTCGCGCCAAGGGCCTGATCCATTGCCTTCCGGGATTTCGAGAAGTCGAGCTGCGTTCCACACTCACCATCAAAGCTGCAGACAAGCTGCCACACCCGCAAAGTTTAACAGCAAAAAGAATGGGATGGTCTCCGCCAGTGTCTGCCCAATCTCCTGCCAGCTTCTGACGGGATCAAAGTGGAGGGCTACAGGTGCTGGCATTCCCGGGAACCATCTTCCTTCTCTCCAAACACCTTCTGGCTACCCCTGCCAGCCCTGTAGCCCCACACCGTCCCGCCGGAAAACACCTTCCACAGGCTCCTGTGCAGCACTTGGCGGGATGGGGCCCGGAAGCTCTCTGAGCTCTCTGTTGCCGTCAATTTCTTGAGCCACACCGGGCTCTGGCTCCCAGGTCGCGGGCGGCGAAGCCTCCTCGCAGGAGGCCAAGTCCAAGGCGTCCAGAATGTCAACGCCCAGCACCAGGAAGGGCGCCAAGGGCCGACGCGCAGCCGGCCACAAAGAGCTCAGGATGGCATGAACTCGACTGTCCATGTTTTCAATGGAGAGGAAACGGCTGCGAAGATGCCTTTCTAGCTGCTGGTCTAACCATTAGCACTGCCTGAGTTTAGCAGCGAGCTTTCAGAATTTCACTCCGTGATTTTTAAGCCACTGCCAAACGACGTATCAGTACAGCCTGAGTTCAGTAACGGGTGCTACTGCCAAACAACGTCAACTAGCCCGACATGCTGTGGAATAGTTTGACATGCCCCAAGCCGAAGTCACGGCTACCTTGAGCCGAATGGCTCAACACTCACACCCGTCCGATAGCCCGTCTCGACCTATCCTCCAATAGCACGGCTGGCATCTCAACGTCCTCAAAGAAAGCAGCATGCATCATCGGCCAAAGAGGCACGTCATGTTTTCTCTCCTTTGCAAAGATTGCATTCGACAGGGCAGAGGGCACATTGACCCATGGCCCTTCACGGCTCAGGACGCCATTCACGATCCTTCGGGGGTCGCAAACTCTTGCTGCAAATCTGTTGGAGTTCAGAGCACAGTGAACCCTCCAAGTCCCTCCAAATCTGTCCCGATATTGCCGATCCAGCAAGTCGATTGCAGCGCCCGCGATGACAGCGGCAGCGCTGTGAAACATCCTGGGCTCAGAGGTGTCAGAAGGCACACCTCGGGCCGTCGCAAGCTTTGCCAAGGAGCGATGCTCCTGCGCCGGCCTAGGAAGGCCGTGAGAAGCCAGCAGAAAGCCACTTTGACACAAGCTTCTCCCTCCTTTTAGGCCCTGGCCACCTGTGCCAAAACGAAGCCCGGAGGGGCGCCGGTCGCGCCAAGGGCCTGATCCATTGCCTTCCGGGATTTCGAGAAGTCGAGCTGCGTTCCACACTCACCATCAAAGCTGCAGACAAGCTGCCGCACCCGCAAAGTTTAACAGCAAAAAGAATGGGATGGTCTCCGCCAGTGTCTGCCCAATCTCCTGCCAGCTTCTGACGGGATCAAAGTGGAGGGCTACAGGTGCTGGCATTCCCGGGAACCATCTTCCTTCTCTCCAAACACCTTCTGGCTACCCCTGCCAGCCCTGTAGCCCCACACCGTCCCGCCGGAAAACACCTTCCACAGGCTCCTGTGCAGCACTTGGCGGGATGGGGCCCGGAAGCTCTCTGAGCTCTCTGTTGCCGTCAATTTCTTGAGCCACACCGGGCTCTGGCTCCCAGGTCGCGGGCGGCGAAGCCTCCTCGCAGGAGGCCAAGTCCAAGGCGTCCAGAATGTCAACGCCCAGCACCAGGAAGGGCGCCAAGGGCCGACGCGCAGCCGGCCACAAAGAGCTCAGGATGGCATGAACTCGACTGTCCATGTTTTCAATGGAGAGGAAACGGCTGCGAAGATGCCTTTCTAGCTGCTGGTCTAACCATTAGCACTGCCTGAGTTTACCAGCGAGCTTTCAGAATTTCACTCCGTGATTTTTAAGCCACTGCCAAACGACGTATCAGTACAGCCTGAGTTCAGTAACGGGTGCTACTGCCAAACAACGTCAACTAGCCCGACATGCTGTGGAATAGTTTGACATGCCCCAAGCCGAAGTCACGGCTACCTTGAGCCGAATGGCTCAACACTCACACCCGTCCGATAGCCCGTCTCGACCTATCCTATAGCACGGCTGGCATCTCAACGTCCTCAAAGAAAGCAGCATGCATCATCGGCCAAAGAGGCACGTCATGTTTTCTCTCCTTTGCAAAGATTGCATTCGACAGGGCAGAGGGCACATTGACCCATGGCCCTTCACGGCTCAGGACGCCATTCACGATCCTTCGGGGGTCGCAAACTCTTGCTGCAAATCTGTTGGAGTTCAGAGCACAGTGAACCCTCCAAGTCCCTCCAAATCTGTCCCGATATTGCCGATCCAGCAAGTCGATTGCAGCGCCCGCGATGACAGCGGCAGCGCTGTGAAACATCCTGGGCTCAGAGGTGTCAGAAGGCACACCTCGGGCCGTCGCAAGCTTTGCCAAGGAGCGATGCTCCTGCGCCGGCCTAGGAAGGCCGTGAGAAGCCAGCAGAAAGCCACTTTGACACAAGCTTCTCCCTCCTTTTAGGCCCTGGCCACCTGTGCCAAAACGAAGCCCGGAGGGGCGCCGGTCGCGCCAAGGGCCTGATCCATTGCCTTCCGGGATTTCGAGAAGTCGAGCTGCGTTCCACACTCACCATCAAAGCTGCAGACAAGCTGCCGCACCCGCAAAGTTTAACAGCAAAAAGAATGGGATGGTCTCCGCCAGTGTCTGCCCAATCTCCTGCCAGCTTCTGACGGGATCAAAGTGGAGGGCTACAGGTGCTGGCATTCCCGGGAACCATCTTCCTTCTCTCCAAACACCTTCTGGCTACCCCTGCCAGCCCTGTAGCCCCACACCGTCCCGCCGGAAAACACCTTCCACAGGCTCCTGTGCAGCACTTGGCGGGATGGGGCCCGGAAGCTCTCTGAGCTCTCTGTTGCCGTCAATTTCTTGAGCCGCACCGGGCTCTGGCTCCCAGGTCGCGGGCGGCGAAGCCTCCTCGCAGGAGGCCAAGTCCAAGGCGTCCAGAATGTCAACGCCCAGCACCAGGAAGGGCGCCAAGGGCCGACGCGCAGCCGGCCACAAAGAGCTCAGGATGGCCTGAACTCGACTGTCCATCTCGCTGAAGGAAGCAGCTTTAAAAGATGCCTTCTAGCTGCTGGTCTAACCATTAGCACTGCCTGAGTTTAGCAGCGAGCTTTCAGAATTTCACTCCGTGATTTTTAAGCCACTGCCAAACGACGTATCAGTACAGCCTGAGTTCAGTAACGGGTGCTACTGCCAAACAACGTCAACTAGCCCGACATGCTGTGGAATAGTTTGACATGCCCCAAGCCGAAGTCACGGCTACCTTGAGCCGAATGGCTCAACACTCACACCCGTCCGATAGCCCGTCTCGACCTATCCTCCAATAGCACGGCTGGCATCTCAACGTCCTCAAAGAAAGCAGCATGCATCATCGGCCAAAGAGGCACGTCATGTTTTCTCTCCTTTGCAAAGATTGCATTCGACAGGGCAGAGGGCACATTGACCCATGGCCCTTCACGGCTCAGGACGCCATTCACGATCCTTCGGGGGTCGCAAACTCTTGCTGCAAATCTGTTGGAGTTCAGAGCACAGTGAACCCTCCAAGTCCCTCCAAATCTGTCCCGATATTGCCGATCCAGCAAGTCGATTGCAGCGCCCGCGATGACAGCGGCAGCGCTGTGAAACATCCTGGGCTCAGAGGTGTCAGAAGGCACACCTCGGGCCGTCGCAAGCTTTGCCAAGGAGCGATGCTCCTGCGCCGGCCTAGGAAGGCCGTGAGAAGCCAGCAGAAAGCCACTTTGACACAAGCTTCTCCCTCCTTTTAGGCCCTGGCCACCTGTGCCAAAACAAAGCCCGGAGGGGCGCCGGTCGCGCCAAGGGCCTGATCCATTGCCTTCCGGGATTTCGAGAAGTCGAGCTGCTTCCACACTCACCATCAAAGCTGCAGACAAGCTGCCACACCCGCAAAGTTTAACAGCAAAAAGAATGGGATGGTCTCCGCCAGTGTCTGCCCAATCTCCTGCCAGCTTCTGACGGGATCAAAGTGGAGGGCTACAGGTGCTGGCATTCCCGGGAACCATCTTCCTTCTCTCCAAACACCTTCTGGCTACCCCTGCCAGCCCTGTAGCCCCACACCGTCCCGCCGGAAAACACCTTCCACAGGCTCCTGTGCAGCACTTGGCGGGATGGGGCCCGGAAGCTCTCTGAGCTCTCTGTTGCCGTCAATTTCTTGAGCCACACCGGGCTCTGGCTCCCAGGTCGCGGGCGGCGAAGCCTCCTCGCAGGAGGCCAAGTCCAAGGCGTCCAGAATGTCAACGCCCAGCACCAGGAAGGGCGCCAAGGGCCGACGCGCAGCCGGCCACAAAGAGCTCAGGATGGCATGAACTCGACTGTCCATGTTTTCAATGGAGAGGAAACGGCTGCGAAGATGCCTTTCTAGCTGCTGGTCTAACCATTAGCACTGCCTGAGTTTACCAGCGAGCTTTCAGAATTTCACTCCGTGATTTTGCCACTGCCAAACAACGTATCAGTACTGCCTGAGTTCAGTAGCGGGTGCCACCGCCAAACAACGTCAACTAGCCCGACATGCTGTGGATTAGTTTGACATGCCCCAAACCGAAGTCACGGCTACCTTGAGCCGAATGTCTCAACACTCTACACCCGTCTGATAGCCCGTCTCGGATAGCCGGTCGAACCAATTTCCAAGGCTGGAATGTGTCATCGTTGTCTCACAATGCAGCAACCTCTTGGGGTTTTCGGATTTTCGGCTTCCAGGGTTCAGGGATCTTCGGGGTGAGAGGTGGTAAGCCTGGGTCTACAGCGGGTAGATCCAGAAAGGCGGACACAAGGCGACTGTATTTTGCTCGGCGAACGGGCGTGCTCCGGTCGCCCAACGCAGCAAGCTCCTCCGGGAGTGACGAGGGCAGGAGTGCGCCGGCGCGACGGCGGGCCCTGGGGAAGTTTCGGCGTTCGATGCTTTACATACTTTGCGAAGGCCACAACTGGAGGGCAGCCGAGGTAGGTGCAGGAGATGCAGCGCGCAGGCAAACTGACTGAAGGTCAGCGCCCCATCCTGCACAAGTTGCACAAGCCCAAGACTCGAGGTCATCTTTTCTCATCGTCATTGAACTTCGGTCCATGCGGGGGAAGGCCTGGCCTTGTCACCAACCAGACGCAGGACAGCCGACAGCTCCTCCGCATCGCTTGACAATGCGAGAACTTGGAACGATGCAGGGGGCCCCTGGGAGCTTTCAGCTCTCAAGTGTTGTCCTCTGTTGGGAGCCCAGAACGTTCCAGGACCTGGAAGGGCTGGAAGGGAAGCCACAAAAGGCTGCGGACTGTCACAGTGATGCTCCGTAGAATTTCCGACCACGTGGCTACTTATACATGAAGCGGAGAAGTGGTGCGGTGATTTGGGTTCCGCTGCTATGTTAAGAAGGAGCGGACCGCCTGCCCTAAATCTGCGGACATCTGCAGTGTCAGGCCTGCCAGGCATCGCGAGTTCTCAGGTGACCATCTCGTTGGAGAGGGAGGCCCTAGCGCTATCCGCTTCAAAGAGATGGGATGCCGCAACGACAAGAGACACTCCACCTGAAAGATGTCGCGGTATCTTTGCAGGTCCTCGGCTGCCATGGCCTCAGCAAAAGCAGAGCAAAAGAGCTGCGCCCCCGGAGGCATCGAGGCGCCAGCCCAGTCGGAGGCGTCTCCGAAGCCGATGGCCTTGGGGGGCAGCTTCGGTTCAAGAGTTCCTTTGAAGAGCATCCAAGGCTTACCTGCAGCATTTCCGGAGGGAGGACGTCTGGCAGGCTGTAGCCCTGCAAAGACTGCAGAGTTACGTCACGCCCAAGGCCCCAAACTCCCGCAAAGCAGAAGCTCGTGCTCCCAAGCTGAAACCCAATACCCTCTCAGCGGCCAAAGGCGGTCCTCAGTGCAACCCACATCAAATTCCCTGAAGCTGTTCCTGAGGTTCGGGGCTTCACCAGCATGAGCGCGGCTCAGCCCAAACTAATGACATCTGTTCCCCTAATTCCCAAACTACCTACAGGTTCCTCCCGACCGGCGCGGATCCGAAAAGGGCTGCGCGCGTCTCCCGCCTGGCGCCGGCGATCGGCCAGGGCTGCTGCTAGGGCGAACTCCCCTGCATCCAGGGCGCCGTCCCCGTCTCGGTCGGCGAGCCTTGCGTACTTCGTATTAGTAGTAATATTACAACTGCTACCATTACTACTTGTCTTGTTATTGGTCTTGCTATTCTTGTTGTCATCAATAACGGGCTCTGTGATGGGCTGATGGGCTCATGTTTAGTACCAATACCGCCAATTTTTCCTCGACCCGACTTGACGATGAAACCCTGCCCGAACCTCCGGCATTCTGCCAAGTTCGTGCAAGAAAGCTCGTGTCATTTTCCTCGAAGCTCTTCGAATTCCTGCTTCCCTTCACCTCTCCTGATACTCCTTCTTCCTTTCTTGCCCTTCGTTTTGGCTTCCCGCCTACAGCGCAGCTTGACTTTCCCCTCCTGCGCATATGTTGGGAGAAACAGGAAGTCCTACAAGAAACAGGAATCTTATCGAAATCGATGCCGATCAGCTTTGAATTTGGCCAACATAACTCTTCCGATGAGTAGCCAGACCAACCCACAGAGGAGTCGCCAGCGCCGCTGAGCCAGCGTAGTATTCTTGCTGCTGTCAGTGCTCGCCACCATTTGCTTGGCAAAAGGAGGCGACGCAGCTGAGCCAGTCACGCCAACGCCAGCCCCTGCTACGCCTTCGTCGGGCCAGCTTCTCCTTTGCATAGCGCCCAGAATCAATGAACTCCGCGAAGAAACGCCGGACTTCACCGACAAACTTCGTAGCTCCGTTCTCATTCGCGAGCTCCCGACCCAGGAATGCCGCTTCTTCTCGGATGTGGGTCGATTGCAGGCAGGTCAGTATTGCTTGCGACAGCTCGTCGGGAGAGGTCGAGCTCATGCCACGCAGTCCTATCCCGATGCCTTTCTCATTCATGAGCCTGGCATGGACGAACTGGTCCAAAAGTATTGGTACAATCACGCTGGGGACGCCACTCCTGGCTGCAGCATAGGTGGTGCCGGCACCTCCATGATGCACGATGACGCTGCAGCGTGGGAAGAGCCGGGCGTGCGGCGCAGTCTCCACGAAGAGCACTCGGGAGTCGCAGAAGGCGCGCAGCTCTTCGACATCCGGCTCGGAGTCGATTTCTTGGAGACCGAGCTCAGCCCAACCCCGCAAGATGACTGCCCGGCATCCCGTAGACTTCAGAGCTCGGAGGCTCAGGAGACTCATGAACTTGCCACTTCGATAGACCATGGATCCGTAGCCCATGTGCACGGGGGCCTCGCCTTTCGCCAAGAACTCCTCCAAAAGCCCCAGCTCAGAGCCGCCGAAGTCGACCCCGACTTCCATCTCGGGCTCATAGCAGATAGGGCCCAAAGCACGGCAGAGGTGGCTGAAGTCGGGAGGGAAAGGCCCGTGCAGAGCTGTGCTGACTGCAAAGAGACATGGAAAGCGAGGGCTACAGCTGCAGTGGTCGAAAAACTCCTGGTAGGAACCGAGAAGGTCGGAGTCATCCTGGGCTCGTCCAAGCGCAGGCAGGGCGTCAATGAGAGACCTTGCCCCTCTCGACGAGAGCATCTTTATGACCAGCTTCCAGGCAGCTTTATTCATGCCGCAACATCTGGGAAGCGTGGGCAGCACGCCTAGGGCACCGATGTAGTTGGAGGGAACCATCACCTGCAAACCCAGAAATATCACAGGGACCGGAGATTCTTTCTGCAAGACCTTGGAGATGCAGAGGCTATCCGTCAGGCCCATTGCCGAAGCGATGATCAGCTCTGGCTCAAAAGCTTTCAGAGCTCCGAAATAGACCGAAACCGTCTCTGCACGGCAAGCTTTCCTCGGCAACACATCTTTCTTAAACGCGAACAGGGTAGCACAGATCACGCCGCTTTACGTTGTTTGCGCTGTGCTGTCCCCATATTCTCTCTTGCTGCTTTACTGCCTTCGCGTGAAAATTTCCGCCGCCAAGCCACTTCTTGGCGGCCACCGCAGCTGAGATCCCTCGAAAGTCGTTAGCCGAGAGGGCTTTGACCACCTCTGGGCTGGTGGACACCTCGCGCGCCGAGAGCGGCAATCCTGCGAAGCGCAGACCCTGCTGCCTCAAAGCTGCTGCGGCAAAGGCTCTTGCCTAGATAGAGCTAGGTGTGCCATTCGGGGATCGTAGCAAGCTGCGACCGTGAAAGTGCTGCTTCCACCATGTTCTCAACATCTTTGCAAGCTATGATCAGCACAGAGAAGCCGTCGGACTGAAGTGCTTTCGCTGCTGCCACATACGGCTGAGAGTCGCCCCGAGAACCTTCAAGCACGAACGCCACTCGTCTTTTCATGGGCTTTTCCCACCACGGCGTTCATCTAAGCTCGAGGAGAAGGGGCTGCGATCGAACCAGATCTTCATGCGCCAGCAGGCTCATGCAGTGCGTTCGGCTGAACGACTGGGCGCCCAGCCTCCAAATCTGGCGCAGTTCTTCTGTCGGAAGTCCGGAGCGCTCCAAAACCTTGAAAGCATCTGACATCCGTCGCGTAAGGCGATAATCATCCGAAGACATGGAATCCGCCGGCCTCCTTGGCATCTTCAGCAGCAAGTACGTCGCCCTGCCTGAATGGAGAGGGGTTTCTTGCGTCACACGCTACAACATCCCTCGCCCTGGCTTTGCACTTCCAGACCGAAGCCCCTGAAGATCTCTGAAGGCTGTCACTTGCCCATGCCCATGGGGGGCCCAAGGCAGTTAATTAAACCCACCGCGCCTGGGAAGGGATGCGAAGAGCCTCAGATCGCAGTGCTTTGACAGCAATGATGCATCGCCTGCCACTGTCCAGGAGTCCTGTCCTAATGAGCGACGTGGAAGATGAAACCCCAAACCGACGAGCTTCAGCGACAGCCTCGAGCAGACTTCACGTGGGGCGGGTGCTGAAGCCCTGATCTATCTGCCCAGTCGAAGAGACACCTCTGAAAACTCCAGAATCAGGAATCCACAACACTGTATCTTCTTCTGATGGCCAGGGGCTCGCTGTACCGCTGCAGCTCCACCGGATCGAGGGACCAGATGTCGGTGCTGTCTCCGCCTGGCCGCCGTGACTACAGTGGGATGTGCAGGGCAGGCGACATCAGCGTTGATCGTGCGCAGAGGGTCTGAATATCCTGGTCGCAAAATGCTGGAATGCACTTCGCAATGCTGCTGTAAGCTACAATAGCAGTTTATCTGCGCACGTCTGCAATCTTGTGTAGACATAAACATGTACACACGACATCTATCATCATCTCTTGCACACATTTACACATGGCGTACGCACACCAGTGCGACACAAGCCACCGTGGAGCCTGTGCTGTTGGCCAGGCTCGCCGCCAGCCTCTACGACAATGCTGTGTAATGCAATGAGGAATGTTTTGAAAGTTTTCCAGGGTTGAAGTTGTAGTTTGTAGCTTGACTGAAGGCGCATATGTACTGCAGTCTTGGCACGCACAGTCATGTTCATCACAGTTCAGTGCACGGTTTAATAGCAGTCTTCACAAACGTGCGTGCGGGATGGTGATTCAGATTGAGAGCAAGGGCACAGGGCCACCAGCAAGGACCGCGTGTGCAGGAGCCCAAAAGGATGCTTCTCCCGCGCTCCCGTGCTGCGCCCTTCTCCCCTGAGAGCTGTGCGCTGGCGGCAGCTGGGACGGAAGCTCTTCGCCCTGGTGGCCGCAGAAACGAAGATGATACCGTCCATAGCCACAACACGTGGTTGCAGCGAAAAGGAACCGCTGGGGTTTGGGGGTCGAGTTTGGGAATTTCAGAATTGGCCGGTCTGCGATATTCAAACGACCCGTCAGGGAATTCTTTAGTGAGTGCAGATCGGAGCTTCAGACACTTTTCTACTTCACCGGCCTCTCTCCTCAAGGATGCTAGATGGATCGCGCAAGCGAACTCTTCGAAGCACAGCTCTCCGTCCTGACAACGAGAAATGGAGAAGCTTCCAAAGCCTGGTCTGCTGTGGGCACAGCAGCAAGCTGGCGTTTGGCATTCCGTCTTGCATCAGGTGCCCATGACAGATGGTACTGAGTGTTGAGGCTCTTAAAAACTTAAAAATGCTAGTACGACGTGGAAATGCTCCCCCTTCCATCGGGCACCATGCCTGGTCCACGTCACTGAGCTGCCAGATCGCCTCAAGCTCCTGGTTCGGAAGCCTCGACCGCTGCAGAACCTGCAGGAACAGCAAAGGTTGGTCATCCATGTCGGCAATAGCTAGATTCCTAGATGTAATGATGCACGCAGCAGGAAGTTGGTAACATTTCGAGTCAGCATCCGCTAGCGCCTCCTGTGCTTCCACTGCACTGAGCGAGTCGGCATGACGACGCTCGATGCCGTCGAAGATCTGCCGATACCTGGACATACCGCGGCTACTTTTGTTGTTGCTGTCTCCCTGCATGCCTCATGCAGTAGGACGCAGAAAACCGGACAGGGGCACTGGTTGAGAAGCTCCGGATCGATCGCCTCGAGGCTCCACGGCTTTTGCCGTGACATGGAGGTGTGAGGCCCTACTAGGAGCTTCATGGGCAGTTATAAGTGGGGTTCTAAGGGGTTTAGGGTTCCTTTAAGGGTTCTATAGGGGTGAGGGTAGTTATAAGTGGGGTTATAAGTCCCACTTAATATGGGTTGTGAGTCTAGTTACCCTACTTTTAACCCCACTTGTAACTAGCCATGAACCTCCAAGTAGGGCCCTAGGCCCTCACCCATCTGGAGTCATCTTCTGCCGGAAGCCTTCCAGATTCCATGCCCATGGTCAAGCTTCGACCGATGCAACAGGAGCAACGCCCGGATCGCCCGGGGCACGCGCGGATTTGCAATCTCTGGAAAGTGCACCGCACCCGCCACCAGCCTAAAGAATTCAAGCAACAGAGTGGAACGTGCTCTGCAGGTAAGCGCCTTGTCAAAGGTGACGGCAGCTCCTGCCAACAGCGGACGCATGCGGAGGCGGAGACGTGATGTGATCACGCATCGCACTTTGGGTCACACGGCTTTTGGTATCTGGAGCACTCTCAATAACATGTGCTTTGCTTTTGCGGCTCTTTTCCTCCCTGTCACACGTCTGGTTACTTACATTTATTTAGAACAGCAAGCATCGTTGCACCTCCGGCAGCACGGCGCCAGCACGACGCCTGGCGGATGCGAGAACACAGCAATCGGATCTCAAGTCTCAAGATTTCTTGGGACTGTTCGGCCTTCAAAAACACCCCAGTATCGATGCTTTGCAGAATACGCACACCGACTGTTCGCCTTGGGCCTTTCAGCTCGTCTACTGTGTCTCAACTATCAGACTTCCTTTCACACCTGTGCTGGAAAATGTCGGCATGCAAAGATGCGACGGCAGGGGTAAAATTTCGATGCTTCTCTGATAAACTCTACTATGCTATGCGATTTGCTTCGCATCCTTCACATTCACCCGAGCGCGGCTTCCTGGTGATGCACGCCAAAGCTCAGCAGTCATCACGAAGCAGCGTTACGGCGTAGTGTTTGAGGAGATATTCACAGGGCGGGAATGCTTGGGGGGACAAGATGGGCTGTAGGTCCTATAGGTGGCAGGAGCCTATCCAGGCATCTCCACAAGGAGCTGGTGATGGCTGGACGAGCTTTATCAGTGCAGGTTCCAGCAGGCACCATGCGCCTGGCTGTGAGGTGCATGGCACAGGCGAACTCGCACAAGGCTAGCTGGCCATCTCCGTCCACCTGGAAGGTGTTTTGTGGTCGCGGGTCTACGCTTGAAACATGTCTGCCAAGAACCCGTGCATCCCACTTACTATTGTATTCTACGCAGCGGTCGTGTCTCTTTCAGCTTCTGGCATCGGCTAGGTACCAAATGGCTGCCAGCTCTGTCAGAGGGAGACCGCTGCGCTCCAGCACCTGGCGGTTACAAGCACTGCCTCAGCTGGCCCGCAATATTCGTGTTGGCTACCCTCCCCTTCTAATTAATGATGAGTCTCTCTCTCAGGAGCTGCTTGCGAATTGCGAGTGGTCGACTTGAGAGCAGGCCACGACAGCTGGAAGCAGGATGTTTGACGCTTTTTTTCCAGCTGAAGCGTGGTCTGTGAACCCAACAACCCGAGATACCCACTAAGGGGCTGCAGTGTAAACACCACAACCCGAACCATCCCCTGAGCCTAGCTACGGGCAGCGGTGCAAGCACCACTACCCTGCCCAAGGCTGCGGTGTAAACACCACAACACTCGAGCCTCCCATTAAACCTACCACCCCGACTACTTGAACGAAAACCTCATCTGAAACTCGAAGAACACCGAGCGCCGCATCATTGTCTCTGTCGCTCCAGCTTGCGTTCAAACGCTGAGCCACTACATAGCACTTTTGAGCACCCATAATCAATCCTTAAAGGAGGGGGGGAAGGGGAGCCTGTAAGGGGGCAGAGCGTGGGCCCACCCCCACCCCCCGAAAGCCAATCGACCCTTACTTACAGGGGGGGGAGGGGTGCCTTAAATCGAGATATGTGGGGGGGTCCCACCCCCCCACCCGCGACACCGAAAACCCTGAAAAGAGGCCCTTAAAGGGTGCGACCCTTAGTTTTACCAATGCAGTTAATTTGTAAACGACAACTCCCGCAAGCTCCAAAGAGCTAGCTTTCGTGACTTCATGGCTGGCCTCCTTGCCTCCCTGGGCCCCGAGGAGGGCGTCTGCGTCGCCCACCAGGCCTCTGCTCACAAGGGCGATGGAAAAGCAACACACACTCAGCTAAGGGACATGACATGCCTCTCGCCGCTTGAGGGTCCGAGTTGGTTCGGGTCGGCATGAAACCCGTGGTGGGGCTGCAGTCAGAGGGCACACTTTCGTCGCGATACTACCTTCTGCAAACTCTTACACCTTTCTGCTTCTCCCTCTCTCATACGATTGACAGATGCCTGCAGTGTATACAGACATATAAACACACATGTATGCGGCATGCTGGATGCATGTACATGAGTATGTATGTGTCTATATTTTGCGCGCACCAGTACCATATGCCATCTTCGTACACCACGCGATTTCATGGCGTGCTCGACATTGAAGCTGCTTCTCGGATTTCTCCTCAAAAGCATTGTCTGGAGATTCAGTTTGGCCCCCTGCGAAGGAAGAGCTGCTTGTAGTCGCCGAGCTCTTCGGTCGAGGGCTCCCAGAGTGCATCATCTGAGCCTGGCCCCAGGATCGAGGAGAGGCAAGACTAAAGTGACCAAAGATATCAGAGCACATTATAGTATATCATAGTCTATTATATATGGTACACCAAAATACATCATACTATATCTGTTGCTTGTGACATGCATCGGCCCCTGCGCAAGGTGACACGCACAAGCTTCGAAGAGAGCTTGGCTTAACCATAAACTATGCCACTGACTGTGGCTCAAGATGCAACAAATTCTCTGAGCGGATCATGGGGGTTGGGGTTATTCCGGGTTTGGGATTGGGGTCCCTTCCTGGTATCCTCGTCCTTCCTCTTCCTGATAACCGAGACCCGAGCCCGTCTTCAGGGTTTCAGGGAGGGATTAGTTCGTTCAGGGATTCAGGGCTAGGAGGTGAGTGAGGATTGAGGTGAAAGGCATCTCCGATGGCGGGGGATTTTAATGATGTTCCTCGATGTCTCCCTTCTCCGACTCCAACTCACTTCAGCAGAATATCAGACGGAAGCCCTAACCAAGAGGTTAGGAGCCCAAGCGCTCCAAGCCATCACTCCGCAACACTTGTCGCAGCAGCACAGCATCAGCAAGACACCTTTGTTTCTGGCCAGGACAGAGGAGACATGACTGATGTTTTAATGTCAGGCGCAGATTTCTTGGTCCGGCAAATGCACGAGATCAGGACAGCGAACGGCGACGTGATTCAATTGATGAGGCAACTTGAGGGGACTCAATGGAACATGGTAGCCATAACCGACATTGAACAGGTGCACCAGAATCTCGAAGGGCTACGCCTAGAGACGGAGCGCCGGACGAACTTGCTTGCGACAGGTTTAACTACGGTTGTAGCTGGAGTTGACCAGTTACGGGAGGCCGCAGTGCAGAGTAGCCAAGCGTACGGATCCTTGAATCAGCGAGTGGCTGAGTTGACAGAGAGCATGAAACACCTTGCCCAAAGAGTCGATGGCGTTGAAGGACAAGTGTTTCTCCATGAGGCGATGAGCCAGCGATTGACCGAGCTGAATGATCGTGTGCTTGGCTTGGAGTCCCGGGGTTTAGCTAGTGGCGAAGCTGAGCGGGAAACCTTATTGAAGCACAATAAACTTGAATCGGACAAGCTTTGGTTGAGGATACTTGACCTACAGGAGGTCGTTCAGAAGCTCGAGTCCAGACCCCTTGAGGAGGAGAATGGACGATCAAAGGAGCTTGCATCGGTCATGGCGCGAGTTGTGGAAACTGAGCGGATTTGCAAACAGCTGCGTGCGAGAGATGAGGAGATCCAAGGTCACCTGAGTCATATCTTGAGCCGCGAGCCAAAGCCAGATCCTGTAGTACCCACGCAGGCGCATGAGGTGCAAGATAAGGGGCCTAGCGGGGTCCAAACATTCAACATGACGAGTGGGACGCCACTCCAGGATCAAACGGATGCTGATAGAGATCAGTGGTGGGATGCCTATGACGAGAAGCCAATACAAGACTGGTATAGGGACCCACCTGGGCTGGGTAACGGTTCATGGGCACCAAGTGCTCCACCTCCTGCCCTACCTCGTGAACTTGTGAAATCGGAGACATCTTCAGCTGCAGGTCATGCCTTGCAATTGGAGTCCAAAGATCTGCGTGTCCAAGGCGGTCAGTGGAAGCTTCTCAAGGAGTTTCCAAAGATCGATGAACCGAGAGGCCAAGCGTGGGAAAAGGGGCTGCAGTTTGCCCAATATGCCACTGAGATGGTCTCAGTCGCGAGTTGTGTGGGATCAGGTTTCGCTCGCTTCGTGAGGTTTCAGATCGACCGCGCATTGGAACGGTTTAAAACAAGAATGGATAGAGGAATCAGTGACTGGGATTTGATACCGACAACACCTGCTGGATGTGACGAGTTTGAATCTCGACTCTCCATGACTCTTTTATCGCAAACTACGGATGAGATCAAGCGTGGAGTCATTGAATCGGCAGCGGGTCAGGTTGTTCCATCACTGGCTATCCTTGAGGCCATCCTTGAGCGATTCCAACCTGGAGGAGTGGAAGAGAAGGCATCCTTGACGAGCTTTTTGCGAAATCTGCCTCATGCATCATCCTTCACAGAGTGTTTGGCAACGCTGCGTAGGTTCAAGTTGGCAAACTCGCGAACATCAGCTCTAGGACTACCTAGCCACCCTCCTCATGAAGCGACTGCATCCTTGAATAGCCTTGTCAAAGCCTTGGAGAAGAAGAACATTACTCTGAGTACTCGCTTGAACTTGTTACGGCTTCGCCCGGAGATATTGAATCCTACGGAAGAGGGTGTGAGTCTCTTGTTGACGGCGATTGAATCAGAGGCGAGGCGCCTTGCTGCTGAGGAGTTTTCCAAACCTGGTCAATCCAAGGGATATGAGGCTGGTCATGGTGAGTACGAGATTACAGCGGCCAAGGGCAAAGGCAAGGACAAGGGCAAAAAGGGGAATGCATCAGGTGACACCAAGTTTATTCCTTGTGCCTTCTTCAACACGGAGCGGGGATGCTTGAAGGGAAAGGATTGTGAGTACATGCATGCCGCGCCTAAGGGAGCAAAGGCTAAGGGGAAAGGAAAGGACAAAGGAGCAAAGGGAGATGAAGCTAAGGCTAAGGCTAAAGCAAAACCTGATGCAAAGGCAAAAGCAGCAGCTAAGGAAGCTGAGGCTAAGGCCAAGGCAAAACCGGATGCAAAGGCAAAGGCTGCAGCTCTTGTCGGCGCCGAGGCGAAATCTGCAATGACCATTCGTGTGCAGGCGAGCATGGCCATGTGCGAATCCGAATCAAACTCAGATGATCACAATTCTCCTTCGGAACTTTCCGAGATCGACGGCGTTGGGAGTGATGATCTTACTCCAAGCGAGTTCGGTGATGAGCTTCAGGAGGAGAGTGATGATGAAGTGGGCTGGGTTTGGAGTCTACGGTTGACTGGTTTAGAATGGAGAATGTGGACTAGCCCGGGAAACATTGTCATCAAGGCCCACGCGGAGTTCGAACATCTTGAGAATTATCAGAGGCTTGAACAGGGAGTATGGCAATTACATCGGACGGGTATGCTAGATGAGCTGCCAGCTGTCTTGAACGAGGAATGGACGGTGAACGCTGTGCACCCTGTGTATGTCTTAGATCCCGTCACGAGAGTGTTCAAGAGGGCGGAAGCCTTTGAACTTGAGCGGGGAGATGATCAGTCGAAGCTTCGCTTTGTTGTAGCGGTGGACAGAAATCGACCGTATGTAGAACCGTGGACTGAGGATGCATGGGTAAGTGAATGTTTGCGGTTCGGTTTTGGCGCTTCCAATGTTCATGTCCAGGATCGGATTCCACTCGAAACCATGTTGATTGGACACGGGTTTGGCCACTTAGCGGAGACCCTGGGTTTGCTAGGAGCTGAGTATGCGGATGACCTTGCAGTTCTGGGCCCTCAAGACTTGATTGACAATGGGATTCCACGGCAGGAGGCTGAAGACTTGTTTCAGCATGGAGGTGTCATGTATGAAGTTCACACTCCCACTGGAGTTCGAGGTGTTCCTGGAAATGAAGACCGGATTGAGGAACTAGCATTTTCTCTTTATGCGTCATGGCAGGCGGGAGATCCGGTGAGTGATGAAGAGTATGATGCTGAAGTACAGCAGAGGTTCCATCGTATGATCCGTAGAAGGCGCCAGGGCTTTGCGAACATGTGTTGTGTTTCCGCTAGTCGGGTTGAGGGTGATAGCATGGTTCTTGTGGACAGCGGGGCTAATGAAGTTCTTCGCCCTCAGACTCGGAGCCAGCCGGGCGATACGCCGCTTCAAGTCACTCTTGCGTCAGGGTCGCATTGCAAAGCCACCATGAACAAGCATGGAGAAGTGTGTATGATCTCAGAGAATGGGGTCAAGGGAGAGTGGATCGTGGGTGTTAGAAAGATCATTGATTTAGGAGGTTCATTTCATTGGGACCCAAAGGGAGCCACAATCAAGTATCCCCATCCTTTTGAGCATGGTAGGATCATGACGGTGGAATGCATTGTCGCAAATGGTCTGCCTTACATGCGATGGTCGGATTTCAAACTTGCGCGCATTGCACTCTCCAAACACTACAGAAGCCAGCTGAAAGAGAGTAGCGGAAACAAAGCCGCCATTGAATCATCAGAAACCTTCTCAGGACCTGGGGCAAAACATCCGGAAAGCCACATTGTAGACTGGGATGATGTTCTGGAGTTTCAGGAGGAGTCTGGGGATTTTATTCGGGGTTCAAAAGGTGTCGCGGAGGTGACGAGCGAGGCTTACGCGGAAGCTTTGCTTGGCAAGGATTGCTTGGAACATCAGGAGATTCTTGAAGCTGTAAGAATGGCACGCTTGAAACCCATGACCATTCGTAGGAAATCCAAAGTGATTGGCGAACCTGAGGCTGTGAATCTGTGGGTTTTCGGAGCTTATGTCAAGGGCGGAATTCATGGAGTCACCCGGGTTAGCAGGGATCATCCGATGCTGACGCGACTGCTTGCTAAGTACATGCGTCAACATACCGAGGGTCCTTTCGCTTCGCTTGTAGTCGCTGAGAATGTTGCTTTCAAGCCACATAAAGATCCCAATGACGGTACTTTTGCATCAACGATTGTCGGCTTGAGTAGCTTCAAAGGCGGCCATTTGTGGACCGAGTGTTCGCCATGTGATTGTGAAGAGGACAAGGTCGTGTGGAGATATGTGAATCCAGACTGTGAGCCGATACCTGGACAGTTGAACAGATTGGACGGTGGAAGATCAGCCACGTTCTGTGGTACCAGATGGCACGGAACCGAGCCATATGTTGGTACAAGGTCTGTGTGCGTCTGTTACATGCCGAGAAATTGGCGAAGCTTGGGATCCGGGGATCGTGCAGCACTTGAGTCCTTGGGGTTTGTACTTCCAGAGGATCGCGTTGAAAGCATGACCGAGTTCATCGAAGCCAGTGAGACAGAAGTATCCGTGTTCAAGGCCATGACCGTCGAGCCTGAGGACATTCTTTTGATTCCTGAAGCAGGAGTCACTGTTGAGGAAAGAAGAACGCTCAAGCAGAAGTCTCACAATCAGCATGAGCAACACATACCATCACAACACACACTCTCAACTCCTCCACTCCCTGATGTTGATGATGAAGATGATGAAGGGGATGAGGGTTGTTTGGAAGGTGGGATGCGTTGTAGC